AAAAAAAAAAAAAAAAAAAAAAAAAAAAAAAAAAAAAAAAAAAAAAAAAAAAAAAAAAAAAAAAAGTTAAAAAAAAAAAAAAAAAAAAAAAGAACCCATAAAAACATTAATGGGTTTTAGTGAGAGGGAGCACAAAGGGTAAATTTCTCTACAGTACAAACTTAGCTACCAAATTTAGCATCAAAATTTCAATGAATCAAAATGAAAGAATAGAATCCACAAATACAAAATACTATTTAACAAACCAAATCAAATACACTGTAAATGAGAAACAAATCATTCAATATAAATGAGAAACAAAATCCACCTACAATCAAACCTTTCTTGGTCATCACAACCAACCACTTCAGAACCCACAATATCTAATCCAGACACTCAGTTCATGGAAGGCCATTTGATTAACCCCCCCTCCCCCCCCAAAAAAAGAAAAAACAAGGAAAAAAAAAACTTGCTCTCTCATCTTGCATATATTAGACACCCAACGAAAACCTAATTTCAAAGACCCATTTTAGAAATATATTTCAGAAACTCATGTGAGGTACAAAGACTACTACAATACCCTTTACTAAGCTCCATAAGAAAGAAAGATTAAGAAAAAACGATTCAAGAAAACTAATATAGTGGAGAAAGCAAAAAGTTTCAACAATACTATTTTTCATCATGGTTTATATTATCTACTGCTCATCAATCCCATTTTGCTTCCATCTTTTATGCAAATGGGAAGGAAGCATTGTCTGAAACCCTATAATCACCGAAGAAGACCCAATAAGTAACAAACCAAAAAATTTAACTTTGATCAAAACTATATAAGTAATGAAACAAATGTAATAAACAAAAACATAGAACAACATAAAAACAACAAAAGCTAACGAACTAAAACTTGGGAGAAATCTAATGATTAGAGGGAGAAAGGGAATGACATATTTATCAAAACTTTAATGAAAATATTATCAAAGAGATCTCAAAATTGAATACCTTTCATTATAGAAATTGATGAGCTGCACCAAAAATTCATGAACTATAACAAGAGGAAATCGGCTATTAGAAACTAATTTTAATACAAATCTAGCAATCAAAACAAAGGAAAGAAAATAATTAATCAAAGTACCATTAATAGTGTAAGGGAAAATATACGTGGATGTCCATTATAGTAACTAAAAGAAAATAATGGTATCTTAGGTGACTTTGTCACAAATCGAATCACTTTCACAGTTCATTATCATCAACATGGTTGTCTGTACTCTACAGAGTAGAGCATATTCAAAAACAAAAAATACACTGAAACACTAAAAAAAAAAATCATTTTGTTACAAAGAATGAATAAAGTGATTGAGAGCCAAAAAATAAATCATTCAAATGCAAAGCATTACCAAATCAAATTGATTCATTAAAACCCCAATTCTTCTTCTTGAGTTGAGTTATCAAGTCTGAAAAAGAAGAAGGAGACCAAAGAAAAACTAATAAACAAAGCTCAAAGTATAGTTTCTATCATAGCATACCAATCCACATTCCCAAATAATAATAAAAAGTGAGGCTTGTTACATATTTGTTGAAAAATCTAGAAACCCTAGATGTTGATTTGTGATTATGTACCAATTTTAAGTAGAATATAACAATCCCAATCAAACAATCAAAGAAAAATCAACACAACGATTTAACGTGAAAAAACCACAATTGGACACCTTCAACTGTGATTTAAAAAACCACGGGCAACAACCACAAAAACAATCCACTAAGAAGATTTAAAGGAATTACACAGGTATACTCTCAATTACCTAGCGAATCCACGCCTAATTGAACCAACCTCTATGTGCCTCTTCCAACCCCGTCTTCACCTCGGAATTGTCTTTACAATGAGCCACTACAGAATCCACCAAAGCTTCAGGCTCGAATTCTTCAGAATCCACCGAAGAACAACTCTCTCTTTTGTATAACAAACAAAGCCTTTGATGTACTCTCTTTTAAACCATGAGTTGAATACTCAATAAAAACATCAAAGCAAACCTAACAAAATATCTCCAAATATAAACCTTAAGATCCAAAAAGAAGATCTGGAGAAGTACACTTAGCTTTGGAAGAAAAACAAGAATTTGTAGAAAACCAAAAGTAATCCTAGATTTGGAAGAAAACCAACTCCTTAAGAAATCTGGATTTTGAAGGTCGCTCGAGCGAAGCTTCTCTCGCTCTAGCGAGGAGCTTAACTTTCGTGATTTCTACTAGTGCCTTGGCTCAAGCGACGAATCCTTGGCTCGAGCGAGCACACCACTCTTTCAGGTTTTTGTATGGACGCAATCCTTAGCTCGAGCGAGAACTCCTTGGCTCGAGCGAGCAAGCCTTGGCTCGAGCGAACAAGGGTGAACATGCAATTTTGAATGCAATTTTGCATTTTGCTTCGGCTGCGAGCTGACCGGACAGCTCGACCCCCGTAATAATCAGCGAAGTGGCAATCTTGAAAGTATTGACATCACAAACTTCTCTGCAAAGCACGATTCAGGTTGGATTCGCCTCTAACAACTCATAGCCTCACTGAAATAAAAATGTGAACAAAATTACAACTCAAAGAAGTTTTGTCAAACAGGATTGCCAAGAATAAAAGCCTAACATTTGTACTCTAATTAACATTGTAAAACCTGACATTCATTTGGTAGTGGGTCTAATTTGTGGTTAATTCTTTATTTTTTCCCTAGATCATATTAAATCCCAAGGGAAATAAAGAAGAAACCAAAAAAAAAAAAAGAAGGTAAACTAAACCAGTTGGAGTAAAAAATAATGGAAACAAAAAGAAAACTGATTCATATAAATGAGAGAGAAAAGTAATACAAATACATCAAAAGACACTCAACAAAAAGGCCAATAAAAAAGGAAATAATGTAAGTTAATATTATAATTATGCAAATGGTTACCGTATCTATTTAAAATGGTCATGTGTTGTTGCCAATTGAGAGAAAGAGAGAGTCATGGAAAACAACTCCATCGAGAATCTAATGTTCTTCAAAATAGCATAAATCACCTAGCAAAACAAAATCAATTATTTGTTCAAATGAAATGGAAGATCACACTGTGTTAACAAAATCAAATTGATAACTCATAATTTTGGTTTCAAAGTGCAACCAACCTGTTTCAAACCTGCCTATCACAACCTAAGACCCTAATACAAAGAGTAAAGGCTAGAAGTGATAATGATACAAAAACAAGTCCACTGAACCAAGTCCAGAATATAGTATACAAAGGAAGGAAAAACCGGGATCGCTATATTAACAAAATCAAATTGATAACTCATAACAGGAAAAAAAATGAAAAAACCAATTTGATAGTGTTTTTTTGTTTTGTTTGAAGCCTTTAATATTCTCAAGATACAGAAAAGAGGGGGGAAAAAATCACACACAATTATTATTGTCAACTTGTGTAACGCCCTCAAATAAATACAAATAACTCAACTCATAAGAGAAATAAATCTAACATAATTGGTATACTTTCATAAATTAGAATTTGTGTTACAAAGGGAATCACATGCGTTATACATTCATAAACATTCATTCTGAATCCACGGCATGTAATACAAGTTGATGACAACAAAAGAAATGCCCTACAGCCTTACATCTTTCCAAGATAATACTTGGTTAAAAACAAAAGAGAGTCATAAGCTCTATACATTTAAAGCTCTAGGCTTGGATTAACATTTAAACACAAAAGTAACAAAACAAGTCTCCAACTCCTAAGTCCTCCCAATCTACGTCCTTGGAGGAGGCATGTCACCTGTACCTGAAAATGGTTTCCCAAGTAGGGTGAGCCAAAGTCCAATAAAAATAAACTAACACAATATATGAGATTTAACTGAGATATAAATATTAGATAGAAGTCTAATACTCAAGGCCAACTTACATTCTCCCCATTACCATTCAATATTGATATCCACATCTTAATCCATTTCCATTCATTCATTTCAAATCAATTCATAAGTGTAGTTCCATATCATCTAAACAATTCCAAATGAGACTACAACTCATTCGTTCATAATTCAATAACAATCATTATTCAAACACTTCAATCTTTTTTCCATTTTACGGATTCTCATCCGAGGGACTTTCACCCTGGACACTCCGACCAACTTAATTTAAAATGGAGTCCATCCCCTATCTCCTCCCAAACAATGGAGTACATCCCTTATCTCCTCCCAAACAATAATACATATACAATATATTTAAAAGCGTTGTCATATACAATGACTATCCAAATCACATATTCAATGGTTTAATCAAACCATCATATTCAATGACATAATTCAAATGTTCAGTTTCAATTCAACTAGTTCTCATACAGTTTCTACAACAATCATAGCTATCCTCCACCGATAGCCCAAAACAGATATTTCTAAATAGATGTACAATTTAACAAACAGATAATTTATCAAATTTTTTTATAGGTGAGTGACTTATCAAATCCAACTACACCATTCATTCACACATCCACCCAATTTCGTATTTCCCATATCAATTTCATTATTTATACAAAATAATTATTGAACACAAATTAGGGCATTTTTTTCCTTTTTCAAATATCAATCCCAAGTTCAAATTTCATCATTTTAACCCATATAACCTCATATTCAATACCCCATATATATATATATATATAAAAATCCCTATTTTAAATTTTGGACCCAAGCCCTAACTTCACTCAAATCCTCTCAAATTCCATCATTTATACAAAATGACAAATACCTAGGTTGAAAACCATATCAAGGTGTAGAATATCCGTACCTCAAGTGTAAAAGCCTAAAAGAGAAGAAGGAGATCTTCAAAAGTGCACAAAACCAAGCTTGGTTCGGATGGAATGGAAGCCCACAAGATGCTCCACCTTTTTCTCAAAGGAAGTAGGGTAGAGGTGCTTCGATCTAAGAGTATTTGTAGAGAGAGAGAGATAGAGAGTGGGAGTTTTAGAGAGAGAGAGTGCTGGACTAGGGTTTTTAGCAAAAAGAAGATCATAAAAGTGATATAAAACACCTCTGCTACGAACTGATATACGCAACCTTCGCTCGAGCGACCAGACACAACAAGTGACCTCGCTCAAGCGCAAGAAGACTCGCTCGAGTGCAGAACGCATAGCTTCAGAAGTTTTATAGACGCACACGCTCACTCAAGCGCAATAAGCCTCACTGGAGCGAAGAACTCCACCTTCCCAGAAATTCTGCGTCTCGGAAAGAATCCTAAGAACTCTCAAATCTCTCTCGAGCCCAAGAAACCTCACTCTAGCGAAGAAGCAAATTTCACAAGGCTCGCTCGAGCGCAAGAATCCTTGTTCGAGCGAAGAAACCAAAATCTGGGCAACAACAATCTAGACCAACTAACAACCAACCTGTTCCAAACACACCCAACATGTTCCAAAATTCAAATTCAAAGAGTCAAAGGAGGAAAACAAGACATGGATACAATATTAAACCACAAAACCCGAGTCCAGAATGTAACAAAGGTCGGGTCAAAACCGGGCTCACTATAACTTGAATGCTACGGAATTTGTTTCCCAATAGAAGCCAAGCACCCTATTACCAACAAATATTTCAAAAATAATAATAATAATAATAATAGTAATAGAAAACATCAGATAAAAACTTCAGCTATTGATAGGTACCAAAAGGTATAGTTCAAATATATCACAATTTTAGCAACAAAAATAACTAATTAATCAACAAAACTAATTACTTAAAGTTTGCAGCAGCTTTTCCCATGGTTTCAACATCTCCAGCATAACTAAGTAATTAAAATACCTGTTTGGGAAATCCTTGAACAGAGCCAGCAGGACCAAGACATTGAAACAGGGCCAGCAAGACCAAGACAAATACCCACAACCTTAGTCTGCTCGATTGTCGCCGTCGAAGTCGCTCCATCATATGAAGCAGAAAACATAATGGTGCTTAAAGATAGAGTAGATAAAATATAAAGAGATAGATTAATGGTGCTTGAACAAATAGCCCGAGTCAATTAAGAAAAAGAACTTAAGAGGCATAACACTTCAACTTTCTTTTCTTTTCCCCCACTTTCTCAGCAATGAATACAGTAACCAATGATTAGCCAATGGAACCCTTGTTCTTGAGTACAAAACCCAATAAAAAAAAATTAATTTTGATAAAAATACAATCTACCCAAAATGATAGTAACCAAAATTTAATCCCATTAAAAGAAATAAGTTAGAAATTATGAACGTATTTAAACTAATAAAAAAAATCCATGAGATCCATGGCCATCAAATCCCACCTTGGGCTAATATTCACATATCCAAGCTGTTCATTGAAGAAAAATTTAAATATGCAAACCAAAAAAAAAAAATGCCTACATGCAGGAAACAAATTTGACACCTCACTAATTTAAATTCTTTGTTTTTGATGAACATAATAAATTTAGTAGTACATGTGAAAAACGAAATATTACACCTATTACATTCCTAAGTATGTATCAGTGTTGGAATTAAAGAAAGACCACAATGTTCCATTCAATTATTCAAACTGGGAGCGTTCACATAATTAGAGCATAACAATAGAAACTTGAACAACCACAACCTACCGGATAACATCAAATATAAAAGTTTAACAACAATACTTAATATATGAAGCATTAAAGTGCTTTTGTAGTCTTGAAAACATACTAAACATTTATTTAATTGTTAAATAAAACTAAATGCTGCAAGAACCGCATACCATATCTATACTAAAGAATTTTAATTTCAAGAACTATCCTAGGACTTAAAAAAAGCTGCGATGTCAACACTTTAAATATCTATTGTTATTTGGATGGAACATGCAAACGCAATAGTCCATGCAAAATATATAACCTATTACTACATTCTAAGTATGTATCAAGTGTCTGAATTAAGAAAAGACCACAATGTTGCCCTTAAAAAGTTTGAACATGAGGAGCTTTTAGCATAATTTTTTATTTCTTTTCATAATAAACAGACTTAATATAAAAGCATCAAGAGATGTAACGAATAAAAAAAAATTGCCTCCAAGGAATAAACAAAGCTAGAATCAAATCATTCAAAAATCTACAAAAAGCCAAAACTATCTGGATCAAACCAATAGCGCCGTACCCAAGGGCTCTTTTGGAAAGTTGGCTTATAAGCCATCTTATTTGGACTTATTGGCTTATTTAGGTCACATCACCAAAAATAGCTTAATAAGCCACATATAAACTTGACCAAAACACAACTATAGGTAACATCAAAATAAAGTTTTAACAACAATACTAATATTGTGAACATCAGTGTTTTTTAATAGTCTTGAATCATACTAATATTTTTGTTAATTAGTTATGAATAACAGGTAAATAAAAAAGAACTATACCAGTTTGAATAAGAAATTTATTGAAGAACCAGCGTAAAAGAAATTGTGATCTCAACACCTTGGAAGGTTTTAAAACCTCTTTAAAAAATTAAAAAAAAAACTTTTGTGACAAAATAAAAATTCGCAATCTCACCAAAAAAGGAAAAAATAAGAAGAAAAGAAAATAAGTAATTCTGTGAGAAAAAAGACATTTTAACCCAAATGAAGAATATATCAAATAATTCTAGCGAATTGACTTATGCCTAAAAGCACTCCTAACAAAAATGAAGTGTAAATTAATCAAACATCTGATATGTCCTTAACTACTATTAAGCCTCACACTCTATTTTTAACTCCTCCAGTTCTTCAAGATTCAATTTGTTCCAAGAAATCAAATTAAGGAATTAATGGAACAAAGTTCACTTTAAATATGTCACTGCCCAAAAAAAGTTCACTCCAAAAATGGTTAAGCAACAAAGTCCAACAAAGAAAAAAAATAAATAAATAAAGAAAGAAAAAAAAGAAAAGAAAAGCAAGCAGACAAATACAAATCTGAATAAATGAGCTCTCATATGATCTAACAATAATGGCTAGGAATAAGAATGTTTAAAAAGCAAACCCAAACAGAATTGGTAAACAAACACCAAAATCAAAATCAAATAGAAAGCAAAGGCACCTAAAGGATCTCATCACATCTGAGTTGAAGATAGAATGTTTCTAGAGGTCTAATTAAGTTGGGCATAAACAGGAAAACCAAAAAACAAAAAAGGAAAGCTCATTATGTTATGAAAGAGGCACATAAAATAGTGAAGAGCAACACTTGAAAAACCTAGACAACAAAATTAGACTTTGATGAGGCGATGGCTAGAGAAGGGCAAAGCCTGAGGAGTGAGTTAAATTAAATCTAGACGCATCCAATTGGCCGACATAGGGGTATATACATTTCCAAAATCAATCTTGGAAATGACCGTGGATGAAAGGGAGAAGCACATTCCCTAGCCATTGGATCAAATACTATCCTTCCTATATTATATATGAATTTTCTCTAAACTGAATTTTTTTTTTTTTCATTTATTCCCCCATCGCATTGCCACCACCTTCTTGTCTTTCCCTTCCCCTCCCACGCCCCAAATCCTGCCTTCACCAACTAACTTACCAAATCCATAAGATATAAATTCAATAATACCAAAAGAAACCAGCTAATGTGCTAAAGAAATTTTAAAAAGTACATCAACTATAAAAAATTAAACTGTCAAAATCAACCACATCAACAGAACTAATGATTGATTAAAGCGTAAATAAGAAAAGTAGATAGTCAATGAATACCTTCAATTATTTTGGGAATGATCTCATAAAAGCATAATCAGAATTACTTCAGATTATTTCCTACAGAATAACGCAAAAAGATCATCTGAGGGGATTCCATTCTAGAACCATGATTACAAACAGTTTTGAATGTGAAGATTGCAAAGCAATAAAAGTGTATTGCTAATTAAAGAAGTTGACATTTAAAATGTGCAAGAAATATTCGTGAAGTGACTTTGGAATTATTGAGCGAAATAACAATGTGTAGTTGGAAAAATAAACAACAGTACAAGAAGTATACTTAAAATGGATTGTGAATCATTCAGCCATATGAGTCTCTTCTTGTTATTATGTTTCCTTAAAATTAAGACGAGAATATAACTAACAAATTTCAATGAGTTTCAAATGAAAAAAAAACACATTGGAAAAAAAATAAATGAATCACATAAAAATATTCTTACAAATAGTGATGTTATTAGAAAGCTCGGAAATGTGTTGACGCTTATAGAAGAAGAATCATTACAGAAATAGATTTTTAGAACAAATAATCAAAAATCAATGAAATCAATAAAAAAATATTCTTACAAATAGTGATTATATTGAACACTCAAATTGTTAATCTTAAGCAAGAAGAAATCAAATTAGAAAATTCATACGTAATATTATTCTACCCTTTGACAAATAATGCTAACAAGTATTT